TGGGCTGAGAGGAGGAAATCTGGCCTTTTGGGGGAATGCTTGATATCCTTTGTTGCTGGAAAATGTAGAAGGGTGGCAGTGCGTTGGTGAGAAGGTTAGGAGAAGGCGACTGGGGTTTAGGTCTAGAGCAGACTAGTCGGAGGCTGGGGCCGGCCAAAGAAGTGGGGCTGTTGCCGAATCCCCGAGGGAGGACTGTGCACGTTAGTCGGTGTGATTGGAGAGAGGCAGGGTCCTCCCACGTGAAAGCAAAGAGATTTGGGGAGTCAGGGTGTGGTGCGGTGACAAAAGCGTCTCTGAGGTCAGCACAGCTCAGCGAGGGGCAGTAGGGAAGGAGGGTGGGACGTGCGTGGCTGGGACTGCTGGGTGGGCAGGGAGTGGGCCTGGTTAATGATCCTGTGATCCCGCACTAGGCGAGAGGGGCCATCAGCCTTTCAACTGGTAGAATTGGAGTGTTATATGGGGAATTGGTGGTTTTAAGAGGTTTTGAGAGAGAAGGTGACTGATTATAGACTGAAGGAGTTTTTGACTTCTATGGAGAGAGGATATTGTGCCTGACAGGGGTGGGAAGAGGGGTCCTTTCGGTGGATCTGCCCTGGCCTGTGACATGGTCGGCGGAGGGAGCAGCGGTGTCCAGACTGCAGGGTTAACCAGAGAGGAGGGAAGAGCAGGTTCTTTTGAGCCAGGTGTGGGGAGGAGGAGGAGATGGGGGTGGAGGGGGGAGGGGGAGGGAGAGGTCTGGGCTACATGATAAGCAGGTGAGCTAGGGAGGCTGGGAATTTGGAGAAGATATCTTGGCCTAAAACAGGTTGGGCAGCTGGGGATGATTAAAAAGGAGTGGGCAAAGGGCCGGCTAAGAAGTGAGCAATTATGAGGCGGAGTACAGAGAGGCTTTGAAATTAGGCCATCGACCCCGGCAGTGGCTGTCTCTGAAGGGCAGGTGGGGCCATATCTGTTAGAAAGAGATGGGCCTCCCTGCCACCATCAGTGTCACCTCGGGCTCCCTGGAGTTAGTCTGCTGGGGCTGTGTCACTGGGAAGCCTGAGCCCTCAGAGGCTAAGCCAAGAAGGTCAGGAGGGTCGAGGCTGGGGAGTCCAGCTGTCCAGAAGGAGGGGTTGGGACCCCACCTTGAGAGCTCTGGTCACAGTCCCTCCTCCAGAGACCATTTTGCCACAGTTAGGACAGGGGCCAGCGGGAGGCCTAGGGCCGGGGCAAGCTTTTGCCCAGTGACCTCTCTACCACATCTAAAGCACAGTCCCCAGGTGCTTTGCCCCAGGTGCTTTGCCCCTCATGCCTTTATGGACAGGTGCCTTGCACTGCGGCTGGCAGCTGGTATCTAGCTCTGTCTCTCTTCTGTTTCTCCAGTTTTTTTTCTTGGTCCCAGTTATTAAAGACCTTGAGGGCCAGGTTTAGGAGACCCTTTCGTGGGTTTGAGGGCCTTTGTTTGATTTTTGGAGTTTACCGTCTATGCCTGGAGCCGATTTGGAGATAACATGCATAACTGAAGCTAAGGTCGCTCCGCTGCCGAGGTCGGGTTTATGGAGGTGCATTTTAGTAGCGCCTCCGTTAGGGCAGATGGAAAAACAGCAGGGTTTTCCTCTGGTTTGTGGTTGACTTGACCGCCTCTGACCAGCCTTTCTGAGGCCTGCGATAAGGCGTGAGGTCTTGTGGGCTCCCTCCCGTCTGACAGTCCTGCTCGGTCCTCCTGGGCGCTGCCCTGCGCCTGCGGCCCAACTGCTCCCGCCAGCCCCGAGTGCTCCCGCCGGCCCCGAGTGCTCCCGCCGGCCCCGAGTGCTCCCGCCAGCCTGACTGCGCCCGCCAGCCCCGAGTGCTCCCGCCGGCCCCGAGTGCTCCCGCCGGCCTGACTGCTCCCGCCGGCCTGACTGTTCCCGCCGGCCTGAGTGCTCCCGCCAGCCCTGAGTGCGCCTGCCGGCCTGAGTGCTCCCGCCAGCCTGACTGCGCCCGCCAGCCCCGAGTGCTCCCGCCGGCCCCGAGTGCTCCCACCGGCCTCGAGTGCTCCCGCTGGCCCCGAGTGCTCCCGCCGGCCCCGAGTGCTCCCGCCGGCCTGACTGCTCCCACCGCCCCGAGTGCTCCCGCCGGCCTGACTGCTCCCGCCGGCCTGACTGTTCCCGCCGGCCTGAGTGCTCCCGCCGGCCTGACTGTTCCCGCCGGCCTGAGTGCTCCCGCCGGCCCTGAGTGCGCCCGCCGGCCCTGAGTGCGCCCGCCGGCCCTGAGTGCACCTGTCGGCCTGACTGTTCCCGCCGGCCTGACTGTTCCCGCCGGTCTGGGCAGCGTCCGAGCCCTCCTCGCCGCGCAGGGAGGGTGACGGAGAGGACGTGGCCCCGCAGGGAGGGTGAGGAAGAGGACCCGCCGCGCGCAGGGAGGGTGAGGAAGAGGACTCGCGGCCGCGGCATGGAGGGTGACGGAGAGGACGCGCGGCCGCGGCATGGAGGGTGACGGAGAGGACGCGCGGCCGCGCAGGGAGGGTGACGGAGAGGACGCGCGGCCCCGCAGGGAGGGTGAGGAAGAGGACGCGCGGCCGCGGCATGGAGGGTGACGGAGAGGACGCGCGGCCGGGCAGGGAGGGTGAGGAAGAGGATGCGCGGCCCCGCAAGGAGGGTGAGGAAGAGGACGCGCGGCCCCGCAGGGAGGGTGAGGAAGAGGACGCGCGGCCCCGCAGGGAGGGTGAGTGCTCCCGCCTGAACTGCCCGCCACCCCGAGTGCACCCCGCCCGGCCTCGAGTGCTCCCGCTGGCCCCGAGTGCTCCCGGCGAGTGCCGCCCGGCCCTGACTGCCCCACCCGCCGAGTGCATTCCCCCGCCGGCCTGACTTCCGCCGGCTGGTGCTCCCCGGTGATGCGCCGCAGCCCCCGAGTGCTCCCCCGCGGCCTCGAGTGCTCCCGCTGGCCCCGAGTGCTCCGCCCCGAGTGCTCCCGCCGGCCTGACTGCTCCCACCGCCCCGAGTGCCTCCGCCGCCTGACTGCTCCGCCGCCCCGAGTGCTCCGCCGGCCGTTGAACTGTTCCGCCGGCCTGAGTGCTCCCGCCGCTGATGCGCCCGCCGCCCTGAGTGCGCCTGCGGCCTGACTGTCGCCGGCCTGGGCACGTCCGAGCCCTCCTCGCAAGTGCAGGGAGGGTACGAAAGGACGCGGCCCCGCAGGGAAGGGGTGAGAGAGGACGCGCTCGCATGAGGGTGAAGGAAGAGGACGCGGCCCCGCTAGGGCAGGTGACGGAAAGGACGCGGGGCAGGAGGTGAGAGAAGACCGCGGCCCGCAGGGAGGGTGACGGAGAAGACCGCGGCCCGCAGGGGTGAGGAAGAGGAGAGCGGCCGCGCAGGGAGCGGTGAGGAAAGACGCGGCCCCGCAGGGAGGGGTGACGGAGAAGAGCGCGGCCCCGCAGAGGTGACGGAGAAGACGAGCGGGCGAGCAGGAGGGTGACGGAGAAGCCGCGCGGCC